ACACTTCTTTTTTTTTTTGTAGGTTTGTCTTTGGTACCAGACAGGCTTTCGTTGTTCATGGGATTTCAGAAAAAAGTATTTGCAAATACACTTTGCAATAATACTATACTGACTTTTTTGAATCTTGGATATAAATCAGAGATATGTATTATTATTATTTTTTTTTGTTTAATTTTGTTTTTTTTTACTTTTCTTTCTTTGAATTAATGCTTTTCTTTTTTTTTTTGTAGGTTTGCATTCGGGACCAGGCAATCGAAAATAGAACTAGTTTTGTTAGTGATTTCAGGTTTTTATTGTTCTAGTGCTATCATTCGTATGCTGTCAAACTTTTAGGGAAAGCATTTGCAAATGCACTTTGCAAAAACACTACAATGACTTTTTTGAATCTTAGATGTAAATCAAAAATATATTATTTTTTTTGCTGTTTGATTTTTAAACTAATACTTTCTTTTTTTTTGTAGGTTTGCTTTACTTGAAAACTGAGTATTGGAGATAAGAATCAGGATGGTTCTGGGCTTTCATTATTCGGTGCTGTCATTTAATGAGTATTGAGATTTTGGGCTTTCATCATTTCGTCATTCTGGCACCATCGTTTGTATGCTGTTGTTTATATGCCATTGTTTGTGTGCTGTCATTCATAAAAATTTTAAAATAATCTTAAATCAGAAAAGTGAAAAGCATTTGCAAATGCATTTTGCAAAAACACTACACTGACTTGAATAGTGCCATTGGTTTAGAACCTTTGTTGCTTCAGGTGTGGTCTTGATATCGTCATGATATTATAGATTTTTTTTTTATTAGTTCTTTTTTTTTCATAATATAATTGATTTAACAGGTTATAATAATAAATTAAAATTGTGTAATCATAATAAAAGTTTATTAAATGATAAATCGACCAATAAAAATTGAATACATGATTATATGATTGATCGATTCAAATCAATCGATCATGTGATCACATATTCGATTTTTATTGGTTGATCACAGGGTTGTCATAGAAACAGGTCACCATAAACTAACACCCATAGAATAATATCTACAGTATATATGATAAAAATTTGAGCTGATTTAAATTAATAGTTATCAAGATATATATCATTAAAGTTTGAATAAAAATAACAAATTTTTGATTACTATAAAATTTTTTCTATTTTTACTTAAATTTAAATGATTAATAACTCTATAATTAGTTATTAAAATTAGCTCAAATTTTTATAATAGATAGTGTTGATATATTTCTATTATATAAAAATTTTAGCCAATTTAGTCTAGTATTTCTTGAGTAATTGCTTGTATACAATTATTATTTTTTAAAAAAATTAACTATTTTATACAAGCAATTACTCAAAAAATACTAAACTAAATCAGCTGAAATTTTTATATATAATAGAAAAATATCAACACTATCTATGACAAAAATTTGAATTAATTTTAATAACAAGTATAGAGTTATCTATTATTAAAGTTTAAGTAAAAATAGAAAAAATTTTATAGTAATCAAAAATTCATTATTTTTACTTAAACTTTGACGATAGATTTCTTGATAACTATTAATTCAAATCAGCTCAAATTTTTTAACATATAAGGTAAATGCGGGTATTTTAACGAAGTTAACACTGCGTACTAATAAAAGTTTGCCAAAACACTTAAAACTTTACTTTGTTTTTCGAAGTATGTAAATTTGAATCTGCTTCGCAATATAGAAAACAAAAAAATTCAGGGTTTATAGAGAATATATGATGATCTTTATGTAGCAATAATTTCTATCTTCCCTGCGGATATTTTGACGAACGTAACGATCATTAACATTAACGTTAATTACTTTATATATTAATATCGATTATCTTTTATTAATGATCTCGTTAAACAACTAGTAATATGTAACAACTATTTGAAAGAAAAGAACTTAGTTTGCTTTATTTTTTCCTTTGGCCATTTTTTTTGTATTTTTTCTTTCTTTTTATGCTCCATTTCTGCCTTTTTTTTTGCCTTCTCTAACTCACGCGTTGCTTTTTTTTGGGTAGCAATTTCTTTTTTTCTTTTCACATTTTCTGCTTTAGATTTGACAGCTTCTTCTGCAGCTTCTAATTTACGCAAAGAATCCTCGTTAGTGAAAAGGCAGGCAAAAAGCATTGTCTTTCTTTTTTTAACAGGTTGGGATTGAGACTCAACAACTTCACAAGATTCTTGTTCATTAGTTTGTGATGAAAGCCGAGAAGTAGGATATTTAAGTGCTATTTTCAAAGGACAGGTACCAGGATTTTTAAAGGCTTCGAGTTCTTTACTTATTAATTTAAAATTTCTTTTAATTGTATTATTTTCCTTTTTTAACAGGTCGACTTCTCTTTTAAGAGATATAACATCTGTTTTTAACATCTCTACGGCTTCGGAAACGCTGGTTCTAGTGGAGTATTGATGAGAAGGTTGAGAAGAGGAGGAGGAAAATATGACTGTTGAAAGTTGAGAAGAGGAGGAGGAGAATATAAATGTTGAAGGTTGAGAAGAGGAGGACACAAATGTTGAATATGATGGTTCTTTAGTTGGCTGAACGGTCTGATGAGATAAAGGCAAGAGCTCATGTTCTGTTATTAGGGAGGGGTCAAGACGGTCAGAGCTAATGGTGTTAGGGTTTAAAGGCCAAGTTCCTGTAGCTCTGTAGGCATTAATAATTGCCTCAGGAGTGTAAGTTGCAGCAAATGCTGGCCCAAGAATCTTGGCGAACGTATGCTTGGTTGCCACTTCCCCCTTAGTATGATGTAATTTTTCACAACCATTATTGTATCCTTTTTTAAGTTTTGCAAAAGGAATTTCAGATGATTGCAGAATATGAGTTGTATAGGGAGGAAGAGCATAAAGTAGGATCCCATTTTCATGACAGAACTTAATGCTAGTGTAATTTACGTGGCTTTTATAGCCATCGAGTATTAATAAGACTGGATGATTAGGCGGAATTGACTTAATGAAGTGTTCGATATACATTTAGAAGAGGCTTTTTCGCATATACCCGGTGTCAGTAAAGCCCATAACTGCACCAGGTGGACCTCCGTTTAATAGACCTGGAATCGTACGAACACCTTTATAAATAATTAATGGAGGAATACAACCACCTGCTGCCGAAATCATTGGAGCAACTGAGATATGTTCATATACATTCCCATGCGAGACTTTGTGAACTTGGCGAGCACCTTTTATGATTATATATAAATTAGCAGTTATACGATAAAATTAATATCGATTTTAATACGAATTTTGGATGCATTTTTTAAGGCTAGTATTTATTACTAATTAATTAATAATTTAAATTTTTATTTTTAATGCAAACCTTTTGCCGCGAGAACTTTTTGAACTTTAGTAGCAATGACGAATCCTGTTTCATCTATATTCCAAATGTATTCCGCGGTAAGCGAATGTTCCTCAATTATTTTTGTAATTTTTTAAAATGATCTTTTATAATTATTGGATTCGCTCTTTGAGCACATGCTTCAGACAGGGCTTGAGGCATTCAAAAAGATAAGTCAGGGTGATCTTTTATAAAACAGTCCCACCAAGCCCTGCCAGGCCCTTTAGCTGCAAAAGGATGAACACGATGATTGCTACGCACTATCTTCATTACGCAGTGATTGACGCCTGATTTTGTCAAGCCAAACCCTAACCTTTGCATATTTTTACAATAACCTACTAACTATTTTTCTTCATGTTTGCTCAAGATAGTTTTAGGGCCAGTACGATTAGGCAACCTATTTTTAGTGGCACGTCTAAGGGTTACTTCTGAAATTCCAAACTTTAGAGCAGTTGAATTTACACTAGAATTCTTAGAATCTGTGAGTAGAGATAGGAATCGATTTAGTCAACTAAAAATTTATATGTAAATTACTATGTTTAGTCGATTTAGTCGACTAAATCATATAGCCGATTTCTATTCCTACTTGTGAGTTCTTTAAGAGCAGCTCCAATTGCGACACAATGATCTTTATAAGAGAGTCTTGTTATTTTTTGATTCGTTTTTTTTTTGATTTAGCCTTTGATTTTTTTACATATTTAGGTTTGGTTTTTTTAATAGTTTCCATTGAGTTTTTTTTTTTTTAAGGATATTGACGAGCGAAAGGTTTAATTTTAATGAAAATAACTGTTTGATACATTCAATTTATCTGATTTTATATCATTTCGAAATGTACTTTTTTTTGCAAAAACTGTATTTTATTGGATATTAAAAAGACAAAAGCATTTAGTATATCAAATTTGGCTTTAAAAGACACTTGACAATTACTGTCTTTTTTTTAATTGCAATGAATTCATTATTAAAATGATACAATAAAAGAACCCGTGAAGTAATATTTTCGATCAGATCATTGATTTTTTTAATGTTGATTGATTTAAACGTGCATATAAAATAAGTTATAAATTCAAAAAAGGAAATTTATACAATTGCACTTTTGTTTTAATTCTCCTTTTGATGAGCACTTATCTTAATACGTAATTACAAGGGCTATTATCGATTATTACATAAATATTCTAAATTTGGTATGTTTATCTTTAAAGGTGTACAGTATATACGTACAGTATGTATATTCATCATGATCTTTGAAATGGTTACTAACCGTTTTGATAAAATTTTTTTTGTATGCACAAAAGCATTTCGTATTCAGATTTATACGATTTTAGAAGTTTTTTTATTAAGCAATAAAAATTTCTGAAAACGCATAAGTCTGATATAACTTACTAATCACAAATATAATCAAAATAATTGGTAAGCAATTATTTTTATAAAGGAAAGATAATTATGATTTTTTATTATTGATTATTCATCAATTATGATGGTCCTTTAAAGTATCCATCTTGACAAATCGCGCATTCGCTATGAATTGATAGTACATACAATAGCACAATCGATTTTATTAAGGCCAGTATTTTTATATAAAACTATGAATATCCAGATTTGCTAATTTTATATGATTAATCCTTAAACAATATCCGCTCATAATTTAATATATTTAATTAAAATGCCACCTAGACGTCGTATTCCAAAGAAAAAAATACTTAAACGACCCAATATTCAATATTGGCAACAATACAATATTCAAAATAGACAAAACATAGAAGAAAAGAAGGTGAAATCCAATGGAGTGCCAGAAGAAACTGTATTTGAAAAAGGTCTGGTAGCACTTTTTAAAAAAGACCAGATGCCAAAGGCACCCGATATTCTAGAACCAGGGTTAATTGATATTACGAAACCAGGGTTAATTGATATTATGGAACCAGGGTTAATTGATATTACAGAACCAGGGTTAATTGATATTACGGAACCAGGGTTAATTGATATTATGGAACCAGAGATTCAGATTATTGGGAAAATCAAATAAACTTATTGTAAAAAATATCGTGTTTTGTGAAATAATATTACCCCCTTAGTATAATACTCTTGCTCCCTTTTTCAGTAATCTTGATATAAAAGATTCGATTATAAGTTAATAGTATTAATTAAATATGCTTATAACTTACACATAGTCTTTAATATTTAGATTTTGTTTTTGAAATCATATCGCTAAAGACTTTCTGGAATTTAATATACAATCATACCTCTCTAAGTGCACCCTCTATAAGTGCACACCCTCTCTAAATGCACGTTCAAGTGCTGGCCCAAATATATACTTGACCTCTATAAATGCACTTTTTCTTATTCTCTATATGCACTATTAAAGTGTGATCTCAAGGGCGTATACTTAGAGAGGTCTGACTGTACTACTATTAGTTTTAGCTTTAAAATTCAAGGCTATTCCATTTTATTTTGAAATAAAACCTTAAAACCTTTGATTTCTGGTATGGCTTGATTAACATTGTACGAAACTCAAAAAAGTTTTCAAACTCTAAAAAATTAAGATTGTCTTGGACAAGTTTCATTAGTATTTGCGAGAAAAAGAATTAGGCCTATAAATTTAATGATACAGTA